AAATCGCTCGAATGATACATTTCCACAGAATGTTAAGTGGTAGATAACTGTATTCATGGATAGACACACATTTACATCTGCCAGCACATACATTCCTATGTTCATACACACATCATAGGTATGCACAGATTCTCCACATTCACACGTATGGGGCATACACACAGGTGTATGTATTTATCGTCATATACCCACGCTTGTAAATATATTTACATTTTCCCCCTTGAGTAAGCTGGTAGCATGGTAGTTAGAGCAGCTGGATCTTACATGGCCAACTGCATGATCTGAGTCCTGATCTAGTGGCTTGAAAGCACACTGGGCATGGGAGCTGGCAGGTGGCATGGTGGTTAAGGCACTGGACTTCTCATGGCCAACCATGATTGGAGTCCCAGACCTGGTGGCTTGCTTTCTCACTTTCCCTTTCTCTCTCTCTTTAGTGAAGTTTGTTTTTTGTTTTGTTTTGTTTTTTGGTTTTTTTTAGAAAGATTTTTGCTATTGGACGCATACACTTGCCAGAGAGACAGAGAGACAGAAAGCAAGAAATCACCCTCTGGGACAATGGCCATATTGCAATCCCTTCTCCTCCATTCTCCTCTTGGGATCTTGGGCATCCATGCATACATGCCCAGCATAAGTTTAAAGCCACTGGGTCTAGGACTCGAACCACAGTCGACTACGTGACAGTCCAGCAACGTAACCATTACACCATCTGCTGGTCCCTCTGGTCAAAATTTTAAAAATAATAATAAATAAGATAAGTAATTCTGGGGCCGGCAGGTGGTGTAGTGGTTAAGAGTGCTGGACTCCCATAGGGCCGACTATGGTTTGAGTCTCAAACCTGGTGGCTTACTTTCTCTCTCTCTCTCTCTCTCTGTCCCTCTCTGTTCACATTAAAATAAAATAAATAAATAAAAATTAATTAATTAATTAATTCTTTTTTTTTTTTAGCTAAAAAGGAAAACAAACAAACATTGGGCATGTGTGCATGTGTGCCCAAAGTCCCCCAAAGAGAAATAGAGACAGGGACCATGAGTGACCTCTCTCATGATGAGTGCTTTCTCACGTTCCCCCTCTCTTTGTCTGTCTTGGATGAGTGCACAAGTCCTCCGACCGATGAAATATCTCCCCCATCCACAGATACAGAAACACACACATTCACAGATCTATGCACACGTCACCATATTACAGTCACACTCACACACACACATCACACACATACATAGCTTCATGGATATACACACGTTTTCCCCCACAGATATATTGTAAGTCTACACATACTCATAGGAACCTATTAATATTCCTAGATACATTCAAATTTATCCATCTACGCACATACAGATACATATGTATGTGCATACATGCGTGCATACATACATATATTCACTCACATTCACATACCAGACACACACATCGATGGGTGTACACATCTCCTGGATGTACACACGCACACATTCATACATTCAGACAAAGACACATGCATGCACAGATATGCACTCATTCCTCCTCATTCAGTCACACACATTTGTAGACAAACACACATGTAGTCACGTTCACACACATGCACACAAACACACCTACTGCGTTTTGAGCTGTTGAACAAAGTCAAAGCCCTTGGTGCTCCAGTCTTTTCTGGAACACCTCAGAGCTTTCTCCAGTTACATCTCATTAAGTCATACATGCCCCCATACTCCAGGAGCAGACATGCCAGCTGTGTTCTCCTGATCTGCTCTGGAATCAGTTCCCATCCCCCAAGGCCTGGGAGAGAAGACTAGGCCATCCTGGGAGAGGGGCTACCACAATCATTGCTTTTACTACCTTTGACAAGACTTGATGGATGGCATTTGATCAGAAAGGACCTTCTTCCAATGTTCTGCCACTTGTGGACTGACACCCACATTTCCTGCTTCTGAAATGAGCATCTGATACCCCCAGTCCTCTCTCCATTCACCTTGGGACTCCAAACTATAGACGAGAAACCACCTTTCTGCACTCAATTATAACAAGCTGCCTTAACCATAAATGAAGTTGTAATGCCCATGCCCACCAGATGAGTTAGCAAGGCACCCCTTGCCCTTGTCATAAATTAACTCGTTATTCAAATTTTAAATGAATTATAAAAGTTGAAAATTAAATCTGGCTAAATTAGGGGTTTTCCCTGTTCTTTTAATGAAGCAGGAGCCACCAGTGGCATAGATCTGAGCGGTGACAACTTCCAGTCCAAACTTCAGCAGCAGCTTTCTACCAGCTGGTGAGCTGTCTACCTTCCACTGCCATCGTCTGCTCTCCCGCCTGGCTGGCCAACCTCTAATCCCAAATGTCCTAGTAAACCTGACAATGGATGAGTTCTCTAAGTGTCATGGGCACATGCAATGTTATTTATTTGTGTTTAATTCTCGATTGTGGAAAAACACATCCAACACACATTGACATGGAAAAAATAACATAATGACTCCAAACACCATTACTCAACTTCAACAAGAAAAAAATTGGGGGACATTAAACCAATGTTCCCTGTAGGTGATAATCAGTGATACGGTAATTGCCGATCTTCCTGTGGTTTCCCCTGTTTCTAAATTTATTGTTTCAGGGGAAGGATAATACAAACAAAAGATCACTGATCCACTTTGTGTCTCAAATAAGACTCTTTTGAGTGCAGAAAGGGATGATGAGTATTGTTGGGGGAGAAGGGAATAGTCTAAAATTCCCCTTTGTGTGTTCAGAATGGCTTGGAGGTATGACATAGGCTAAAGGAAGTGGGGGTCATGATATCAATTAGGGTCCCACCTGACAGCATACATGGACAGGCTTGCAGTCCTTTAGGGTTAACTGAGCCCAGTGCAACATGCTATGCAAAATGGGGGGCCATGGCAAAAGGGCATCAGCAAGGAGAGGGCTGCTTGCCCACAGCCTGCGTGGTGGGGATCCAGAAATTCCCACATGCTATAGGACAGGGATAGAGAAGTCACAAGAAACTATGAGCTAGGAGAGTCAGAGTTTTAAAGAGAGGTGGTCCTAGACGTGGTACTCCCATAAGGCCCGGAAGAGGTCAAGGGTCTCAACAGTAGACATAAGCCTAATGCCCCTCAGACCAGGAGTAGTCCCCCAGCACCAGATGCCACCATCTGACACTGGACCACCATGAAGCAGGATGTGGGACCCCCTCCGTGAGGTCCCGCGGAATAATCCAAGGGTCATCAGTGCCTTCTCTTGGCTGCCATGAAGCTTGGCATTATATTGAAAAGACAAGTAAAGAAGAGATTGTTTGAGAATGAAGAAATGACTGTCAGGAACTTTCAGTAGATTTCATATTTACCCAAAAGAGACTATCCTAAACTAGAAGACACGATGAGAATTGGAGTCCTAAGGAAAGATAAAGTTGGTTGTAGAGAACACATTAAGTGACATTTGTTAATATAGCTGAGTACACGTTAATGGCATTGTTTAAGGTCACAGAAGAGCATAGAGTACTTGCAACTTTCTGGTCTTAAAAAGTAGCTTACTTCTTTAAAAAGTATTTTTTTCTTCCATGAGAAAGAAAGAGAGACAAAAAGACAGAGAGACAGCACCTCCCAACAGGGTCTTCATGCCGTGCTTCACACCTGGCCTCAGCCAGTCCCAGATCATAGTCTCATGGAGGTCTCTGTCCATGAACCCAGAACCTTCTCATGTGGGTCAGCCTGGCAGAGCATTGCATGAGCATTGTACCACTTTCTGGCCCAAGATGAAGCTGATTTTCATGTAAACAGATTCAAATCAGAGGCAGTGAGGGCCTAATGGTAAACCTGAAGCTCAAAAAACCCAATTTCAAAGAACGTATTCAGATCATCTATTCTCTTTCTCCTTTATATTCCAAAGAGCTCAACACCACTCAGAGACAAGCTACCAAGTATTCCAGGCCACAAATCAGAGGTGCCACAGAAGACAGACCTCAGGGAATTGTAATGCCATAGAAGGACTGTCTGAGGAGGACAGCAGCTCTAATTAACCAGAGCTGGCTTGCAAAGGTGCCAGAGCTGACTGGCCACTCAGCCCAAAGAGACAGAGAGTGGCAGCAGGCTTATTTAGATCTGAGCAAAGCCCCCTTCAATCAGGCTCTCAAGATAATTAGGAAGCAGAAGGACAATTCATTAATGGCCTAAGTCAATGTAGCACCGGCTATCCTGCATAACAGTGTCTGCCTATACTTTTATCTGTCCTTTCATTTCTAGGCAAAGGAAATAAATAGATGGCTTTTCAAAGTTTTTGACTGGGGTCCACAGTAAGAAATACATTTTACGTTGGAGTGTAGAACACACGTGCACAACTGAAATAGTTACACAATTGAACTGACCTTGCTGTGTGCAATGTGTCTGATACTTTCATTGCTGTACTTTTCTATACCTTATTTTTTGGTGTTGAACATGGCCTACTAAATGGAATATACCACCTCCTAATGGACTACAACTAAAAAATAAGGGTCTATAAACTAACACCTGCTTGTCTTAATAGTTCATTTCTACCCAGAGAGTTTCCAGGTAGGCAATTTGATGGGATTTTACACTTTGATTATTTTGAGTTTCTTGTGTCTAAGGTCCAAGACGCAGAGCCATTTAGCAGGACTATTGGGATCGAGCTATTGCTATTATTGTATTGCTTTTATTGTATTGTTTTTGCAGTTATAAATAGGCCCATGAGACATTCCTGGTTACAAAGACAGTGAATATACATATACAATTTCTGGCTGGCTAAGTGGAACTTGTGGAATTTGTTACTAACATGAGTTTTTTCTCTGGGTTCATCAGAGTTAGTTTTATCTTTCTGGAAACAAAGTCATTGAAAACAAACAAAAAAACCCTGATGTATCCTAGTGAAATTAGATCAGAGCTAGAAACCACAACCTTTGAGTCTTAGACTAGCTTTGATTAGCTACATGAACTTGAGCAAGTTCTTTATTCACCGTGGCAGACACCTCTGGTGGCCTAATTCAGTATTCATTCTCTACTCTTTTGCTGTCTCCCATGTAGCTCGAAAGAGGATGACTCCGTTTCGCAGCTTCCTATGCAGCCAGAGGTGGCCACGTGACTCAGCTCTGACCAATGAAGTGTAAGTAGAAGTCTGATGAGAAGCACGAAGAACAAAGAGAGCTTTGGATGGCCCAATAAAAGCCGCAGGTGCCAATCTTTTTCTCCATTCTTTCTGCTCTGTGCAGACAGGATTCTGGGAACTGCAGAAACCATCTTTCAATCATAAGGTGACAAGCACAAAGAAGAAACCAGCCCAGTAAGAATGACAGAGAAGAACAATAGGGCCAGGATTTCTGGTGGTATCCTTGAACACATGACATCAGCAACTTCCAGCCCTTGTATTTTTGGTTATTTAGAAAAAAAAATGTCTGTTCCTTTAAGGTAGTGTTAATTACATTTTATTTTTCTTGGAGCCAAATGATCCTAATTAATTCGCTCTCTGGGTAATGTCAAACAAGAACATTATGGGACCAGTAGGTGGTGTTAAGGCAGCTAGATCCCACAGGGCTGGCTGCACAGTTCGAGTCCTGTACCCAGCAGCTTGAAAATAACATCAGACATGTGTGTACCGAAAATCCCTAAACGAGAATGGAAGAGAAGGGACTGTGGCGTGGCCATCCCCAATACAGGATGACTTTTTACTTTCCTTCTCTCTCTCTCTCTCTCTCTCTCTCTGTCTTTCTGTCTCTGGCCACTTAGCGAATGTGCCCAATAGGAAAACAAAAATTAGAACACTGTGTTATCAGTTCTACTATTCCTACAAAGACTATATAAGGGTCAAAAATAGGATTTCTCAACCTCAGCCCAATTGACAGGCTTAATAATCGTAGCAGTTTGCATAATAGTTATGTCTCTGGACTCCTGTGTAGTCAACCACGGTTTGAGTCCTGGACCTAGGGGTTAAACTCACGCCAGGTACGTGTGTGTGCATGCCTAAGACCCCGAGAGGAGAATGGAGGAGAAGGGATGTGGTGTGGCCATCGAAGGAACTGTTCTGTGCACCTGTAAGATGTTTAGAAACACCTGGTCTTGGGGCTAGCATGTGGCATGGTGGTTAAGGCACTGGACACTCAAACATGGGCAATCATGGTTCTAATCCCCGAGTTGGTGGGCTTGCTTTCTCACTTCCCTCTCTCTCTTGATGCGTGTCTCTCTCTGGTCAAATTAAAATACATGAACGAATAAATAAAATGTTTTTTTTAAAAATGCAAATCTGGTCTCCTCCCAAGAGATGCTACTAGCAACCTCTCCCAAGTTGTGTCAACCAAAAATGTCTTTAGATGTTGGGAACCAGCAGTTAGCGTAATGGCTATGTCACTGGACTCCCACGTAGTCGACCACGGTTCGCGTCCTGGACCCGGTGGCTTAAAACTCACACCAGGTGCATGTGCGTGCGTGCCCAAGATCCCGAGAGGAGAATGGAGGAAAAGGGATTGCGGCGTGACCATCCCCCCTGGGGGGTGATTTCTCGCTTTCTGTCTCTCTGTTTCTCTCTATCTGTCTGGCGAGCGCACGCGCTGTATAGCGAAAAACCTCTCAAAAAAAAAAAAATGTCTTTAGATGTTGCCAAATGTCCCCTGAGGGACTAAACTGAACCTCGCTGAGACCCACTGATAAAGCATATTGATGGATATGACAGCACTGTAAAGGTTTCATTTTCAGGAGGGCAGGAAACATTATTATGAGTGTATAATATTTCCCTTTAGATATTTTTAGTTGTTATTGGAACTATACTCTTTAAAAAAAAAAAAAAAAAACTATACTCAAATTAAGGTTTCCTTCCAAAGTGAAAGAAAAAGTAAGTTTCCTGAAATCAGGGGACAAAATCCAGCAACATGTCTAACTTGACCTATTTCTCATAGGAACATGAGTTTGTGGTTCAGGTAACTAACAGAGACGTTTTGAAAGGACATTTTGCATATTGATTCAAGAGGACATTGGAGTAAGGTCATCCTTGCTTGCTCTGGAGCATCTGTAATAAAAGAGTCTGAAAAACCTATTTCCTTGAGCAATGCTCCAGCTCCTCTAGTACCGGAGTGTTACCAGGTGTATTATTTGCAAGTTATTCACTCGAGGAGTTGCCTTAAGATGTCGGATCATTGGTAAGAACTTGCTACCTTTGGATAATGGCGTGCTTTCTTTTGGAAATAATATCTAAAAGTCCTTTGAAGTTTCCTGGCCCCATTTATCAGTCCATGTAGTTGCATGTAGTTGAGAAGAGTCACCCCTACTCTCAGTGCCAGGGGTGAGAGGTGACCTAGAGCTAAGCCCATCAGCCTATTCCATCCTCCAACCAGAGCCGTTGGCTCAGAGATGGGCATATGATCCAGTCAGAGCCAATTAGAGACAAGTCCTGGGAGAGAGACGCTGCAGACAGAGGAGGATGTAAGCCAGGGCGGGTGGAAGCCATTGTACAAATGAATGGGTAGGCTGCTGAGGAGAGAGCAGCAAAGAGTAGAAGAGCCTGTTAATATGGTCTGATGATGGCCTCAGCCCAGAGTTCTTCTACCCAGGACTTTTCATTGCATAAGCCAATAAATAAATTCCCACTGCTGCTCAAGGTCGTTCAGGTTGGGGTTTTTGTCTCCTGCGAATAAAGCCAAGCCTGGCTAGCAGAAAATAAAATGAGCCAGCAGATGGCATTGTGGTTAAAGCACTGAACTCTCACATGACTAACTGTGGTTGGAGTCCCAGACCTGGTGGCTTGCTTTCTCATTTTCCCTTTCTCTCTCTCTGTTTCTCTCTGGTCAAATAAATAATAAGTAAATAATTCTTAAAAGGATAAGATGGCCTTATTAAAGGGCATCTGTCTCAAAGAACAGCCCCCTCAGGCAAGGAAGAGGGTGCTGATGTGTTTGGGTGACATTTCACTTTATAATATGCAATCTAGCAATATACTTATTATATTAAAGAAGAAGAGAGGTAGAAGAGGAGAAGGTAGTTGACGGAGAAGAGAAAGGGGAGAAGAAGAGGAAGGAGGAAGAAAAGGAGAAGAAAGTGAAGGAAAAGGATAAGGAAGAGGAGGAAGAAAGAAGAAAAATAATACAGAAAATAAAAACACACAAACAGAAAGAATCTCAGGAGTCTCTGTGTGTCCCACTTCTCCCTGCAGAAGTTGCCAGCAAGTTAAGGGAAATTTGATCTCAAGAAACCACGTTCTGGATTCGGATGTTAATACAGATGTCTTGGGGGACTGAGAAATCCATGAGACAGAGTTAGGCTGAGCCCTGAGATATGGAGTGGTGCCTTGCCCAAAGCCATGGAAACTTCGAAACTCCAGAAATACGGTTTTCTCTTTCACTCTTTCTTTCTTCCCCCTCAGAGGAAAACTTGAACCACATACATGATATCTCCTGGCCTGTGCTGAGCTTGGTAGAAGAAGTTCCTGAGGGAACCAGCAGTTAGCGTAATGGCTATGTCGCTGGACTCCCACATAGTTGACCGCGGTTCGCGTCCCGGACCCTGTGGCTTAAAACTCACGCCGGGCGCGTGTGCGTGCGTGCCCAAGATCCCGAGAGGAGAATGGAGGAGAAGGGATTGCGGCGTGACCATCCCCCCTGGGGGGTGATTTCTCGCTTTCTGTCTCTATGTCTCTCTCTGTCTGTCTGGCGAGTGCACGAGTCCCTACAGTGAAAATCTCTCCAAAAAAAAAAAAAAAAAAGAGAAGTTCCTGGCTCCCCAATGGCCATATTTTTGCCCCCACAACAAATAGGGGAAACCATAGTACAGTGCAAGGTCAGGCCTAAGGTGGCACTTGCTCCAAGGCATGGTGGCTTCTCTCCCTCTTAGCGGCCCCTGAGGAACGTTCCAGTAGCCAGGTATGTGGCTGAATTCGAAGCCCACAGTTTATACTCACTCTCAGGCCCATTGGCTCTTTCCTGGAGTTGAGTCCTCACTGACTCCCTGATCCCTGTGGCTCCCAACAGGATGTTGGGACGTGTCCTCTTTGGTTGACACTGGTTTTGTGATTCGTGCCTAAGTCATTAAAAATTGTATCACATAGACAAAGGGGAGCCGTGCTTTCTGGGAAATTAGGCTGAAAAATGTCCTCTCAGTTTTGGTAGTTAAATGCCAAAATTCATTTCTTTCACACAGACTCTAAGACACTGAAAAGTGAACTGATCTCTTGGAATCTTTGTTTGTTTCTTTTTTTTTAAGAACCATGTTTTAATTTTATTCATCATCATCTTTTTTATTTTAATTTGCTACAGAGCACATCAAAGAGAGACACGAGAGAGAGAGAGAGACAGAAAGCCACCAGGTCAGGAACTTGAACTGAGGTTGACCATGTGAGAGTCCGGTGCCTCAATCACCCTCCCACCTGCTGGGCTGGGCCTCTGTTTCTTCATTGGAGGAAAGAAGCTGATAATTTCTCTTTTACCAAGGTATTGTAAGAACTGAGTGCCTGGCATATAGAAACATAGAGTTGTCATTGTCACTTGTCATTGCTATATTATTACCCAGTATCTTCTTTTGCTACCTACTTCCTGAGGACAGCGAAGCAAGTCAAATTTAGGTTTGTACTAATTTGAAACATGCTAGAGTTTCTTCCAAAAATCATCCCAAAATCACAAAAGAGAGACACGAGAGAGAGAGAGAGAGAGAGAGAGACAGAAAGCCACCAGGTCAGGAACTTGAACTGAGGTTGACCATGTGAGAGTCCGGTGCCTCAATCACCCTCCCACCTGCTGGGCTGGGCCTCTGTTTCTTCATTGGAGGAAAGAAGCTGATAATTTCTCTTTTACCAAGGTATTGTAAGAACTGAGTGCCTGGCATATAGAAACATAGAGTTGTCATTGTCACTTGTCATTGCTATATTATTACCCAGTATCTTCTTTTGCTACCTACTTCCTGAGGACAGCGAAGCAAGTCAAATTTAGGTTTGTACTAATTTGAAACATGCTAGTTTCTTCCAAAAATCATCCCTAAATCACAGGAGATTTCTTTCTTTTTCTTTCCTTCTTTCCTCCCTCCTCCATCTTCTTTCTTTTTTTTTTAATTCTTTCTTCCTTCATTTTGTATTTTCCATCATACTTTACACACAGTAGATGCTCATCTGAACTTAATCAATGTGCTGATTGGTTAGAAATTACCTGTGTGAACCATTGAGTCTCCCTTTGCTGGGAGTGGGCCGTGATGGCATTTGAGTAGGTCTCAGAGCACCGTGAGTGATCATTCCCTTCTCCAACCTAATGTCGGGCCACAGATGCCAGAACAGGCCCATCTAGAGCTTGGCTTCATAAATAATCAGTCAGACACAAGTTTGACTTAA